TTTTACATTTGGTAAAAAATTTTACACTTGGTAAAAGGTTTTTATTCATAAAAGGTATTTACTTTGTGTAAAATATAAGAAAATAGAAATAATGGCTGGATACTATCTTAAGGTTAATATAGTCCCATTCTATAAGTGATAGTTGTTTTCTGAAAGAATTCAAACTATTATTGTTGATATATATAATAAGTTGTTGCCGTTTTTATTAAAAATTTTTCCTACGCCTCTTTTTTTAAATTTACACAGAAAAAATATCGGAAACATTGGTTATTATAATTTCTTTTATTAACAAGTTATTTAAAAAAGTCAGTGGTTAAAATGTTATCATATAATGATGATAAATAACATGTTGAATGTTGAAATATTTTTGTATCACGTTTGCTTCTCTTAATAAAAAACGTCATCCATATCTAAGATATTTTTGGACTTTCAGATACTGGTGACGGAGGAGGGGGATGCATACACCATCCTCCTCTAGATCCGTCACTGTGTGCAGTATTCATCTTAATTAAAGCGTCATAAACAATTTTTATGATTTGTTAGACAAAGCAAATTGGAGCTAGAGGTTCTCTTTCATTTTACAGATATCGAAAGAATCTTGAAGAAACTTAATTGCTTTTTCTGCACGCTGATTTGTTCTGGGAATTTCCAGTCTGAGTTTAATTTTTTTATGTGACCGTGCAAGCTACTACATAGCTTCTGATAATCATTTGCATTGTACATTTGGTCAGGAAACTAATGGTCCGTCCACCTGTAAGAGATAAACCTAAAAATGTTGAATAGTGAGTCTATTTTATCTGGTAGAATAATAAATTCCAAAAAATCTAATATTGCTCGGGAATTCTATTCCATATGAAATTTCACTTTAGGAAATACTCCAGATTCTTCAAAAAAAGCGTTATACCCGAGTTAAATGAAATAGAAATTTTATATTATCACACCATAGTGCTGTTTTAGTAATTATTTCTTTTCCATTCATGAAATTCTTACTGAGCTGTTAGTAGTTTTTTACAAGTTCCCGGATAAACAATCAATATTGATATTGTTTACAAGTTTACAAATTTTACAAGTTCTCAGATAAAAAAAATATTCGACATTTGTTTTCCTCCAAGTTTTTTATCTATTGTTACGCACAGGACTCAGTCAAGTATATGATGTTTACAACCAATGAGTTGTGGTTCTTCCGATATTTTTTTGACAATCTTTCATATCATTGTAACTGACTGACAATTCCATTCCTTCTTCCAGTGTTTACATTAATGTCCGCTACAATTATTTTTATACTCTTGCATGAAATGTATTCTGCAAGATTAGCTGTTATACCTTTAACAACAGTATCTGTAAAAGATCTGGATCTAATGCTTGTAGCTTAACTTCTCCTTGTTCTTCAACACAAAAACTTGATATTCTTGGTGACGTTTATCATAAAAAGTGCAGAGACCAGCATTCTAAATGTAGTGTTTCCTTCATTTCTTCTTTAAGTTTAACAGCTTCTTTAATAGTTGATCTGAATATACCAGATTGTGAAGATGTCTGAATGTCCATTCCATCTTGAGATAACTATTAAGAAATGGTTGCTGCTTTGCAGGTTGATAGAAATGGTTGCTGCTTTGCAGATCAATTTTTGAAGATGTTAATGATTTTTTGCAGCTTTAGTTTCGCTGTAGTTCTTGATTGCACTTGTGAACTGTTCTTCTGAATCTTTAGACTCTCAATATACTGCCTCACACTCGGATTTGTAAGTTGACGTTGTTACTGTTACCGTGGAATTTTTGCTCATCTGGAATCTTAAAAGTTAATTGTAATTGGCTATACTTTTCTATAGGCCTGGCTCTTTGTTTGCTAACTGATATAATTTAAATCTTCATGTGCAGTGGTTTTACGGTGTAGCTGAATCATCACGTTATCTAAATGAAAAAATAGACAGTCACATATCCATAAATCTGCCTCTGCAGCCTGTAACTATTTAGGCAGTGCCGTAATTACCAATAACCTAAACTTTGTTACTTGCGGTGTTTTTCAAGCCATTGTAACTGACATAATGTTTTTTGAAACACTAAATCAGGGGTTCTAATTATTTGGATCTAGTTTGAAACATTGGTTTTCTAGTCACAGCAAGTAATCGCATTAAAGTTATAAAAATTTGTTCAATTAGGTTAACTTTTTAAATATATGCATACCATGCTGTAAAAAAAAAGTTTTTTGACATTCTTAAAGTGCTAACAAGAATTTGCTAAAAAATCAGAACAATAGGAAGTGGGACTTCGTCATAGGTCTTTGGATTGCGTTCATTATTGTTTAAGATTACTATGTGCAATTAATAAAATCTCTGTCGAGCTCCAGAGCAAACAAAAAGATTTCTCTCATGTAACCATTTTACTTTCAATCGCCCATGCAGAACTTATATTTATCCGAAATTTATGGGAGAGCACACCTTTAACTTCAACAAAACTGGAACACCACTAACGCGTTCTCCAATATCCGTAAGATGATTTTATTGTATGTATGACAACATACAATAAAATCATAGTGTTCAATAAAATATTTGTTGAGCATATGATATAATGTATTTTATCCTGTTGTTGATATTGCACTATATGGAAGTATATTAATTTGTTCACATATCATGGAAGTATATTAATTTGTTCACATTTTTGCATCATCTTCATCTCAAGAATTTGCCTTTTACTGTAATTGAAATTTTAAAAATTATACCCTAATAATGTGAATGACATCTCGTACTACAAATTCGCTCTTATTAGGAAGTATTTCATACTGACTTATATAATGTGGAGACTGTTCAGGATACTTTGCAATATCTAATCAAAGTGAAACTACTCGTTTTGATGCCAGAATTAGAGACCACATGTTTTTTTATTATTACACTTAACGTTACACCTAACATCACTTAACGTTACTAATTGTTCGGTACTAACTGCTGTTAGTTTTGTTCAATTAAAAACGGCTGAAAGATTTTGAAAAAACCAGTTTAATATCTGAATAAAAAGAATATGATTTTGTTATCTGAATAAATCATGGCATTGTATCCAAAATGGAAGAAAACTTCTATGCCTGTTGACAATGATTGACAAACAAAGAAGTAGTAATTACATTTCTGGAGTACATTACTATTTTTTGTAGCATCAAAAAATTCTTGATATTCAAAAGATTAAAATAAATAAACTAAGCTCGGAATATTGTAATCATGTTGTAGTTTTATGCAATAATGTAAAACTCTATCTCTGCAAAAATAACCGTAAAAAAGATATCTTTTTTACGGTTATTTTTGCAGTGCACATTGTTAAGCGCATTACTCCGCATTGAGATGCATTAATTTTGCAAAATAGTTAGCAACGAATTCACTTGTTGCGATAACTCATTTCTATTGTTTGAAGCAGCACCAACTATAAAGTTTAAATTAATTCCAGTGTTCGCAACACTTGAATACTTTGTTGTTTAAAAAAAAAAATTTATTGTAAGGCGACTTTTTAGTGCAATTAAGTGAAAGCAGCTTTATATGATATAACGCTGTCTTCTAAACAGAATATTTTGGCAACTCAAGGGTGTCTGATATTGATTAAATGTCTGATAGTAAAGTTAATCAATTATATTTTATTTTTAACAATATTTTAGTTTTAAAAAAAAAAACTGAACCAAAATAACCATAATCCTAAACTACCCCTCCAAATTATTTAAGAATTTTTAAATATGGTTAAACCAATCTAAACAGACAGCAATTTTTTCTTCTTTTATAGATATATTCTCTACATAATTTTTATTTTACAAATTTTTTTTTTAATTGAAAAACGAATCAAAAATGTAAAATTTTTTAAGAAAAAAAGACTTATGAAACATTGATACAAGTATCGCATTTTCCCCTATAAGTACTTCCTTTATTTTTTTGCCTTTGCTAAACCGTGTTTTAATGTTTAGCATAAGCTTTTAGTGGGCTCTTGTGTGACCACGAAAAATTATTTTATGGTCAAGGAAACAGAGGAAAAACAATAATATTTATCAAAAATTAATTAAAATAATTCAAGTGGTTCATCACACTGAGACATGAATTATTTTTTAATAATGCATATTTTCTGTATAGAAAACTTTTTCTGCGTTGCTAACAAAATTATTATATCTAATGAGATGGCGAACGCGTATGTGGAAACTTATTGCAAAATCTTTCAAATAAATTTTCAAGAACTTTTATAACACAAAATAAAATTATTAAGTAGTGTGAAAGGTTTTCATTTAAAAGTAAGAAAATTGTTGCAGAAATAAAATTATTAAGTAGTGTGAAAGGTTTTCATTTAAAAGTAAGAAAATTGTTACAGAAATAAACTGAAGGCTTCTGCTAAAAAAACAAAGTTGTTTAATCCAGCAAAGTTTTGGTTTTTATTTCTTTTCTTTTCTTTCTTCAGGTTTTGCTTTAATATCAATTTTATTTGTTGTACGAATTTTAGATCTTCTTAAAGAACTGTTTTAATTGCAGTTTGCAGACCAGACATACGAATCAAATATCAAGAAATACAAGAAATTTACTATTATAGTATGTTAACGAATAATATAGTATGTTAACAAATAATATAGTATGTTAATGTATGTTAAAATAAATGTAAAGGCAAAAACTAAGAAAAAAAACTTTGACTTATTTAGTCAAACTGTCATTTATTTTATTACTTTGTTAAATATTAACGATTAAGAAAACTGTTTTTTTAAAAAAACCTCTTGGAAACTCTTGCATGTATACAGTCTCAATTTCATCCCAAGCTCTAGCTAAACCCCAAAAATGAAAAGTGTAGCTATATATACCCAGGTAAGTTAGATGAGTATAATTTAAAATAGCACGACATATTTTACATAAAAAGAATTATTGCACTTTAAGACTATGCAAAAAAATAAATAAGAATCGTTTAAAAAATATCTTTAAAAGATATTCATGAACAAAAATCACTGAAATATTTTTTATTAACCGAGTATTTTTTTATTATTTGAGTAAATTGGTTTTATTGTTTAAATTTTTTATAGATAACTAATAAGAATGTATCGAGGAGAAAGAGCTGTCGTGAACGACATGCGAATCTTTCGAAAAATTATCGATGAAAGATTTGCAAGTTTAATTCGCATGGACATAGAATTTAGACAAATATTAGAGGATCTTGTCATTGACCTTCATGAAAATCCTAAGGGTATGATTGATCACTTAGTTGAACACAGATACTTTAACGAATTAGTTTATGGTATACTAAGAATTATGGATCATCATACTCCAATGGCTCCAAGGTAATTTTTTTAAAACTGTATAATTTAAAGTTAAATAATTCAAAATTAGTATGCCATGGGGCTAGTAATTGGACATAAATGTTAGAGTGATGACCTCAAGCCATAGTGTTCAAGGTTCAATCCTGAACTTGCCGTAAATGCATAGGTATGTAAAGAAAACGGCAGGAAACATTAAATCTTAATGATGATAGATGTAGATAAAATGAATCTCGCTTTTCATTTTTATATATTTTTAATAAGTTGGTATTAATAGTTATTTGTTATTATTAGTTTTGAAATTATATTTTAATATCGTATCCAAAAAAAACTAAAAAAAACTAAATTTTGTGACAAAAGTCTAATGCTTTTTACAAGTGGGATTCAAAAATATCTAATAAATACGTGACGTAATTTATGAACAGTTTTTAAACAATAATATTTACATTGATAACATTACTTGCTAATGTTTTCTTCTCTAATATTAAACTTTTGATTATTAAAGGATTGCTGGAAACGCAGCGTATGTCATTGGAGCTTTAATTGATTCACCCGTCGGAAAAGAAAAGGTTGTTGCGTTACTTCAAAATGAAGATCGAGTTGAAGATACGCAGCATTGTTTACCAAACCTTGCTGCTATTATTGAAACTGGTGATCCTGAACCAATGACAAATGCATCTGGAACTGCATCACTTATTGTAAATAATGTTTGAGATTTAAACTTTTTTTGCTTAAACTTTAAAAAACATTTAAATGTTTGAAATATATGAACGTTTAACATGTTTTAATTTTTTCTTAAAAAGTTTGAAAGTGAACAATGTTTGAACTGGGCTTTGGAACAACCATCTTGTGAGTGGTTTATATCAGTGTTAGGTCAAGCACTTGTTAAAGGTGACATGTGGGTTGCCAGCAATTGCGCGTTGACTCTTGCTCGGTAAGTGTTGAACATTTTAATGCACAGTTACCATCAATGTTTTTTAATATTGATTAAATGTTAAATTTGTGGCATCATATAAAATAAATGCTTTGATTTAAGTAAATATTCAATATCATTAAATTTTAAATATGCTGCACCATAAAGAATAAATTATGCAAATTTATCATATTTTTTAATTTTACGTTGATATAAAAATTTTATTTTAAAAAATTTCACTTTTGAAAATTTCTTTTAATTGCGTTTAACATCATTTACTATATTTCAAAAACATTTAAAAAGGTTCAACATAACATTTAAAAACATAAACATTTTAAAAAGTTTAACATAACATTCAAAAACATGAACACTTAAAAAGGTTCAACATAATATTTAAAAACATAAAAATGACATAGTGAGAGTATATCGGGTGGACACGGAAAAATCAAGTCAACTTTAAATTGAGATTTTTCTAAAACCATAAATGCTTTTTATTTCAGTTTTTTTTTATTATCAATTGTGTTTGCATCAATTAAAGTTTCAACTTAATTTTAAGGGGCTTGATGGGCTGCTTGGCAAGAGATCGAACTTTTTAGCGGGTTGATGCCATCATTTTGCAGATATATATATATTTTTTCACCTTATTGGTGGTATTAATCCACTTTTTTTGGAAGTTCTTTTTATTTTTTGTTACTTTATCTGTCTTACATAGAACTCAAAATTCAAACTCCTTTAAATATTTCCCAAAAATCTTTTTGGGCAATTTTTAAAGAAGTTTGAATTTTGAAAAAGAATTTTGCGCTCTTCAGGACGATTTGGAGGATTTGCATTTTTAGGAACAATTTTCACATCATAATAATGCACCAGAACCTTTTTAGATAAGTGAGGAGAGCAAGATCTAGCCAAAAGAGACATCGGGGTAATTATGTTTTTTTCATAAATGACAAAAGTCTTTTTTATAGGCATTCTTTGATGTAGAGATCAGCATTCAAGGTCTACTTAGTGACACAGTGGTAGCGAGCAGCCGTGGTGCAGTGGTTGCGCACTTGCCTCAGAAACAAAGGACCCCTGGTTCAAACCCCATCTCTGAGCAAGTTTTGCGATATTGGTTCCGAAGGAGACGTGAACTTCCAATTAAATGCTCATCCACGGTGCTCTGTGATAAGACTGTTCTTAGAGCACCTAAATAAAAAAATAAAGTAAAATAAAAATAAGTCTTATCCTTTAAAATAACACAAATTTACAATCTTATGTACATTTCTTACAAAGAATTGCACATTTCTTAAAAGTGGTTGTCGAACTTCTGAATGATATAATACTTAGTAGTTGTCTAATTTTGCCAACTCTGTGTTCTAAATGAGACTACCAACCGTGCATATCTCTGATAATTTTTGGCTTTTCGGGAATAAATAAAATTATTATTTCTTTTAATTTTCTGTTTTTTTTGAATAATGTAAGTGTAGAATTAAAAAAAATATCTGACCATTTTTGTGTGAAAAAAAGGACGTCCATAAATTACGTCACAGTACAGGGGGAGGGGTTAGTGGTTTTGTGACGACTCCTACGGAACTTGTTACTAAAGAGTTACAATATTGTGACAAAGAGTGAGAGGGACGGCGAAGCGGTCTAAAACGGTCAAAAACTGCGTGATATAATTTGTGAACGACTCCAAAAAAAAAAATCCCTTCGAATAAACAAAATTTTGATTTACTTCAAGTTCTAATAGCTGAATATTTTATGACTTTGTTTTTTTGAATGTTTTATGACTTTTGTCCACAGAAATGAAAATTGCTTCGAATTAGAGAGAACTTCAAATAAGTGCCAGTTCAATGATTGTCTACTTTAAAGAAAACGTTTTATTTTATTAAATTTTTCCAAGAGGAAAAGGTTTTATTAAAATTTAAGATGAAAACTGTTAATAAAACAAAAAACATTCTTACAGTTGTTTAAATAGAATTATAGTTTACTGTCAGGGCCGATAACAACGAGGGGCGGGGGAAGGGGGGCTGAAAAGTGTTTATGTTTTCACACTTTTGTTGTTTTAAAATGTTACGGCTTAAAGCAACGACGGCGTCTATACTTTTTTACGCGAAAGACCACCCAGAGCAATCTTCTTACCCAGAGAACCTATAAGTGTTTAAAGCAATAGTTTATGAGTTATGCCTGTCCACTGAAAAACTTGTTTCTTACCTTTGTAACGGCGCTCCTTTAAACCACGGCGCCTTGGACATATTGCGACATTTGAATTATCTTGTTCTTTCTCCACATTTTTGAGTTTAGAGATAAAACGGTTTTAAAAAATAAAAGCTTTAAGAGACAGCAAATAAAAATATTTTTAAAACTTTTTTTTCTCCGCTACTTTTTTACTTAAAACTTAGGTCAATAACACAACTTTTTTTGTGAAGATAGAACAAGATCATTCAAACGTCGTGATATGTCCTACTTCAATCTTATCATACACATATTTATGCATATAGATGCAGAATTACGCGTGTTTTAAACCTGAGGTGCCTACAGGGTAAGGTTGTATACTATTTTAAGTAGCACTTATTATAAGATTGTCATTTAAATATCATGAATTCATTCTGTCTTTTATTCTTTTAACTGCCATAACTCATTATATATAGATCAACGAAATATTTCCGCGATCTGCCTAAACAAGTAAAAGTAGATTCAATTTCAGATATTCTGTTTTAAACTATACAAAATAAAATCTCCTCTGAGTGTTTAGAGAAAACATTCTCATTGTACAAAGAACAAAAAACAATATAGTATCATATTTTATAAACTAAATAAAATTATTTTTAAAATATCATTCAGTGGTTTAATATCACTAAAAGTGACATTGACCACTGACTAAAAGTGACATTGACCACTGACTAAAAGTGACATTGACCACTGACTAAAAGTGACATTGACCACTTACTAAAAGTGATATTGACCACTGACTAAAAGTGACATTGACCACTGACTAAAAATAATATTGAACCACAGAGTTCCACTAAAAGTGATATTGAACCACTGCGGGTGTTTTACTGTATATTATATTTAATTCAAATATTTATATAACAGCTATATTAATTTTCAATAAAAAATATATTAATTTTAATTATCTTAAAAAATAAATTTTTAGTTTTTTTTTAGATTTTGTGAGGATTCTAAATTTGCAAAAAAAATAAAAAAAAAAAAAAAAAAACACAAGCATTATGATTCGCTAAAAGTAATGAGGTTTGTTTCTAAAGATTTATAGAAAGTTTTAGATGCTTTAAAAAGTTTCCATAGTTTGAGTATTTATATAGAGGTTGGAATGGAATCTCAGATCAATTAAAATTTCTGCTTTGCAGCTTTTGTATATTGCATTAAAAGGAACGAAGGTAAAGATTATGCATGGCGTACGATGCTTTGTGAGTTTTAGACGGGTCATTCAGCAGTGAAAGTTATACGGAATATAAGCAATAGGATAGGTCAGAATTTAGTGTCTGTGGCGGCAGCAAAAAGTTGGTTCCAATTATTTTGTAATAGTGATTTGACGTTGCATAATCAACCCATATCCGGCAGACCAATGAAATTGGATTTAAAGAGTTTATAGCAGCATAATAAAAGCAATAGTTAAATATTTGCATAAATCCGTGTTGTAAAAATTATTGGAGCTTGTCTGGTAGGTGTTGTCTCATTTGCCCTACTAGTCTTACTTAGTGTTGAACATATTACTTTTCCGATCGCTTTCACGGGACAGAAAAAAGATGTCTTTTAAACGTTTTTAGAACGTTTTGAACGTCTTTTGAACGTTTTGGACGTCTTTTGAACGTTTTGGACATTTGTTGAACCTATAAAAGACGTCTTTTTTTAGATATCGTGCCCACTGGGTGAGCAACAGCTTGCGCAAAAGAAGAATTGACCACAATAAGGTTCTCCGAAAGCACCTCAATTACTTCTTTAATTCAAGTTCAAATAAGTCCAACAACAATAGCATTCGTTCTTTGCTTAAACAATAGGTCATAGACAATTAGCTTTTTTGAAAAACTTGCTTTTTGCCTACCCAAATATTATAGATGAGATTTAAATTTTAGTTATGATTGTAGATACATTACTTACACATATATGATAAATTATATACAAATAAATATTTTAGAATTTCTATGAACAAAAATGGGTTGGAAAAAATTGCTAGACATCCTGATTTTGACGAACTAGCAATGCAGTTAATTGCTTCTGTAGGTGTTGACGATGAAGGTAATCATTATTTAAAAGTGCTTTTGAATTATTTGATGTTTAAAAAAAAAATCATAATAATTTTTTTCAATTTAATTTGATAAGGACGAGGCATGAACGCAGCATTTGCATTGGGATATCTTTGCGAAAATGAGGATTTAATTGCAAAGATTGTGGACTATAAAGAGTTCTGGGATCTGGTACGAATTTATTGTTATTTTAGCATCACAAAAGATCAAATAAAAACATAAAAAAAAACTTTAATTATTTAACTTTATTTAAATTTAGATGCATGGTTTAATTCAAATGTTAAGGAGCCTTGATGATGGTTGTAAAAAAAACTCGGCTTTTTGTCTTAAAGCAATTTCACAGTGGAAAATTGGTCAACAACAAATAAATGATGACCCTGATATCACTTATCTTCTTGAAATACTTACAAAACTTCTTACTGCAGGTGACGAAGATCTTGCAAAAATGGCTGCCAAGTATTTTTTTCCAAATTTTTATTATATGTAATTAAAATATAACAGTAAAAAACAAGAGGTTATCCAAACATAGGTGTTAAGAAAAAATTTCAAAAACCTCATTTTATTTTTTAACTCAAAATTATGTAAAATATAAAGTAAATTATTGCATATATAAAAACACACATACATACGCTGTTAGATAAAAAATAATGCATATTCATATTACAAACATCCTGTAAATTATCACAATACTAAAAACTAATTTTATAAACTTTCATTGCTTTTATATATATTGGATTGCATTTTAAAAAGTTGTTTAAAAAATTGGAAATGTTTAAGTTTTTTCAAATTTGTTCAAAACTATTTATGTAGTTAGAACAAGTGTAAAAAATCAGAAGTTTTTCGATCTATCGAAATAATCAATCATAAACAAATTGTTTTTTACATAGCTACCTAATCACTATAATTTTTATATCATAACAAAATCTAAAAATGTTAAACTGTAATTCGATTGATCTAAACTTAAAACTGTTAAAAAGATTAGAAAGTAAGTTAAGGTCAGGTCAGGTTTTCCTGCTACTGGTAACATGTAACCCAGTACAACCTGCTCTAAGTAACATGTAACCCAGTACCCTGCTACTGGTAACATGTAACCCAGTACAACCTGCTCTGGTAACATGTAACCCAGTACAACCTGACTAAGGTCAGGTCAGGTTTTCCTGCTACTGGTAACATGTAACCCAGTACAACCTGCTCCATGTCCTGCTGCCTTGTAGGATACGCTTTTTTAGGCAAAGGCTAGGAGAAGTTAACTCCGAATTAAAACACCCCCTGCCTTGGGGCTCTTGGTACAATGTATTAAAAATACATCTGGCGCAGATGTATTTTTAATACATTGTTTCCAGTTTAGGATGTTGAACGCTGGATCTTCTTGACTCAATGCGTGGGTATTGCTTGTGTCTCTATTTTTATGACTGGGCAACTCATTCTATTATCTCCTAATGAGGGTACAGCTCTAAAACTCAGTTTTATGGTTCTGAGGCCGGCTGGTAGTCAGGTTTCCCGAACTCTGTGGTAGCTCTCAGAGAGGCTGATTCCATCAACAGCCGAAAAATATCAGAGTACTAACAGTGCCATGTTGCGCATGGATGGTGTCCCTGTTTGTACTTTTGGTGTGCATTGCAGAGGCCACATTTGGAGCCCTTTGTTACGGCTTAGGGTTTATTAATAGTAATGAGGCTATTGCTTAGTTGTTAAATAGTGTACTGAGTACTATCTATACTTGAGTCAAGTTCTTTATAAATTTAAAATGACTAAAGTACCTAAAACTAAAAAACACAAAAAACCATCGTCATCACCAAGTTCTCTAAACCTATCATTTACTAATATTCGTGGTCTTCGAAGTAACTTTTCTTCTGTTGAGTCTTATCTCTTGTAAAGTTCACCAGACCTACTTGCTCTTTGTGAGACTAATTTGAGTTCGGCTGTCCCATCTTGTGATCTTAGTGTTGATGGTTATCTTCCTTTAATTCGTAAAGACTCCAATAATCACATGCTTGGCCTGGGCATCTACATTCGTAAGAACTCACCCATTTGTCGTGAAACTAGGTTTGAATCTACAGACTATTCATTTATGTGCTTTCGTTTAGCACAACTTCACTCTATCGCCTTTCTCTTTGTTCTATATCGCTCTCCTTCATCCCAAGATTGCACTATTCTTGATGTTATTTCTGATCAAATTGACCAAGCCCTCTCTCTTTATCCATCGGCCAATATCGTCGTTGTTGGTGACTTTAATGCCCATCACACCGATTGGCTTGGCTCTAGTGTCAGTGACTCTGCTGGCGTTAAGGCCCTCAACTTTTGCCTTTCTCAATCTCTAACTCAAATAGTCAACTTTCCAACTCGTTTTCCAGACAACCCTAATCATTTACCTTCTCTACTCGACTTATGTCTTGTTTTGGATCCTAGTCAGTGCTCAATTTCTCCACATTCACCCTTAGGTACTTCTGATCACGGTTTGATCTCTCTAAAACTATTATCAAATTCTTCTACTTCATCAGAATCCCCCTATCATCGTACCACATACAACTACCTTAAAGCTGACTGGGACTCTTTCCGTGATTTTCTTCGTGATGGCCCTTGGGTAGAAATCTTTCGTCTTCCTGCTGACAAATGTGCTTCTTACATAACTTCGTGGATTCAGGCTGGCATGGAATCTTTTATTCCCTCTCGACGATTCCAGGTCAAGCCTCACTCTTCTCCTTGGTTTTCCTCACATTGCGCTGCAGCAATTTCTAATCGAAACCGTTACTTCCATATCTATCAGCAAAACAATTCTCCAGAAAACAGACATCTGTTCACTATCGCCAGAAACCATTGTAAAAAGGTTTTGTCTGACGCCAAAGCTCGCTATTCCCAGGTCATTAAATCTCGTATCTCATCACAAAAATTAGGCTCTCGAGACTTCTGGAGAATCTTTAACAGTATCAATAATAAGGGCAAATCTGTTATTCCTTCTCTCTTGTATGGTTCAGACTTTGTCACCTCACCTAAAGACAAAGCTGAATTGTTTGCTAAGAACTTTTCATCAATACCATCTCTTGATTCCACTAGTTGCGTTTTACCTGACATAGCCGTCAAACAGGTTGATCCCTTGCTTGACATTCGCATCACTTCAGCTTCTGTATCTAAAGTAATTTTCTGCTTAGACTCTTCAACAGCTTGTGGTCCTGACAACATTCCTGTTGTAGTCTTGCAGAGGTGTTCTCTGGAGCTTTCATCCATACTTTCTAAACTATTTAACAAGTGCTTATCAGAGTCTTGTTTTCCATCATGCTGGAAAGCAGCATCTGTTATTCCTATTTTCAAAAATTCCGGAGAGCGATCTGATTCATCTAACTACCGTCCCATTAGTCTTCTTCCTGTCATAAGCAAGGTTTTTGAATCTTTAATCAACAAACACTTAATCTCTCATCTTGAATCAAATAACTTACTTTCTGATCATCAATATGGATTTCGGTCTTCTCGTTCTACAGCTGATGTGCTAACAGTAATAACCGATAGGTTTTACCGTGCATTAGATAGAGGTGGAGAGGTTAAGGCTATCGCACTTGACATTTCTAAAGCTTTTGATAAAGTTTGGCATGCTGGTCTTCTCCATAAGCTTTCTTCTTATGATGTAGCTGGTAAGGTCTTTAAGATTATTGAGTCCTTTCTTTCCAATCGTAGTATAAAAGTTGTCCTCGATGGACAACACTCTTCTTCACATCCTGTAACTTCAGGGGTTCCTCAAGGTTCAATCCTTGGCCCTATACTCTTTTTAATTTACATTAACGATCTTCCAGATATTCTCACATCTAAGGTGGCATTATTCGCTGACGACACTACCATTTACTCTTGTCATGATAAGAAGCCTACACTCTCTGGTTGCTTGGAGGGGGTATATGAGCTTGAAAAGGATCTCACTTCTGCTACAGCATGGGGCTCACAGTGGCTGGTGAACTTTAATTCAGATAAAACTCAATTTTATTCGGCCAATCGTTATCGTAATAATTTAGATCTTCCTATATTTATGAATGGTAATGTACTAGATGAGTCATCTACCATTCATCTTCTAGGATTAACTCTTACTTCTGATCTTTCTTTTAAACCGTATATCAAATCCATTGCAAAATTAGCATCTGCTAAGGTTGCATCTCTTTATCGAGCTCGACACTTTCTTACTCCAGATTCTATTCTCTATCTCTATAAATCTCAAATCCGTCCCTGTATGGAATACTGTTGCCACATCTGGGGCGGATCTTCTAATGATGCTCTTTCTCTTTTAGACAAGGTGCAAAAACGAATTGTAAACATAGTTAGACCTGCTCTGGCAGCCAATCTCCAACCTTTGTCACATCGTCGTAATGTTGCTTCTCTTTCTCTTTTCTACAAATACTATAATGGGCACTGCTCTAAAGAGCTAGCGTCCCTTGTGCCATCTACTAAAATTCATTCTCGTGTTACTCGCCATTCAATTAAGTCTCATCCTTTTTCTGTGACTGTTCCTAAGTGCTTCAAAAACTCTTATTCTTCTAGTTTTTTTCCTCGAACATCAGTTCTTTGGAATTCGCTTCCTTCATCTTGCTTTCCTGATTCATATAATTTGCAATCTTTTAAGTCATCAGTCAATCGTTATCTTGCTCTACAGATTTAGTCTTTTCTCTTCCAGTAACTTCCAACTCTTGTAGTGGTTGCTTGCAGCCTTGTTGGAAGTGAAGATGTTAAAAAAAAAAAAAAAAAAAAAAAAAAGTTGCAGCAGTTCAAATTTTTTTTCGTCAAATTAAAAATTAAAAAAATAACACAAAAAAAATTAAAATAAAAAAAGTTTATTTTTACTTACTAAAATAAGAAAAAAAGAATTTTTTATATTATTTATTTAGATACCAAAACTTTGGAAACCTAAATTATTAAAAAACTTTGGAAACCCTAGATTATTAAAAAAAGTTTTGAAACTTTGGAAGATCACTACAGAAGAGGCCATACATTTACATAAATGCTAAATGTGAAATTCGAGTTAAGAATGCTTCTTTACAAAGCCATTTTATTTTTTTTATTACCCAAACTATAGATAACAAAACAAAATAAAACTTATAGTTTATACCATTAGTCTAAAGATTCTTTGATAATTTAGTGGAGAAGACTCCATCAAATTTAGTGGAGAAGACTCCATCAAATTTTTGAATTTCTTTGTTCTGTGATATTCTCTAATTCAAAAGAATGGTTTCCAAATTGTCTCCTACGTCTTTGATTTCTCCCCCTCCTCCCGATAAAATACTGGACGTAACTTAGCAAATTGTCTCCTACGTCTTTGATTTCTCCCCCTCCTCCCGATAAAATACTGGACGTAACTTAGCAAATTTTCATTACTTCAATAATAAAGTGATTATTTTTAGTAATACCAATTAGTTAAATATAAATCAGGAAAAAACAAGTCAGATTGTTCAGTAATCTGGTATACAGATTTAACTTATTTCCAATGAGTATAGTAGACATTTCATCGATTTTAAAGAAGGATAGATTTTGCTGTCCTTTAATATGCTAAAAAGGAATTTTATAAGTATCTTCCAAAAGCTTTTAATTTATTAAGAAATGTATTGTTATAATTATAAATTTCTAAGCCGTATGATAGATTTGGTACAACCATAGATTTGAACAAATGCATTAAGTTAATGAATTCTAAATTATTCAAAGACCTCTGAAGATTGATTAAAATCGAAATCAAAACAGATTATAATATATTGCAATACTACGTGTTTTGAACTTTTGTTGTGATCTATTTTTGTTAAAAAAATAAATCACAACAAAACTGCTAAAATTTTCATAAAAATTTTCGAAAATTAATTTTATCAGTTCTACAATACTACTATTTGTTTGGATAATTTTATTTTGGTATTGATATTTTTAACAGCTATTTCGTTATAATTTATAGACACTAAACATACAAGTCTTGGAAATAAAATTTCTTTGGTATTTTTTATAGATGTTAAAGATATTACTATATGGTTAACAAATATTAAAAAAACCTCTAATATTGTATTATGTTTATGTTGTTTTATCCGAAATTAATTGATTAAAATCATGATGGCAATCGGACTCAGTTATTAGCTTTACGCTGCTAAATGATGCATTCATACATGCCGAAACCGTAAACGCATTATAGATACTTTTAAATTATTGTTTAGTATTTTGTGCAACTTGGCTCAAATAAAAAAAGGGTATATGCTGCAAAAAGATGATGAAAAAATTGCTGTGAAGCCAACTTTAAAAGTAAAAAGTTTAAAAAATTTCTTAACTAAATAAAAAAGAAAAATGCTTTTTTTACAATACTAATTGACAAAATTTCATTTTAGCACGTGTTATCTCAAATGTCAATAAGTGAAAATTACAGAGAAGAAGCATTTAAAGCAATGAAAGCTTTAATGCTAGAAAAGCCAGAGCCTCCAGTGCTTAAAGGTAAATCACTTGTTTTAATATCACTGATGTCACATCTGAATAATCTGAATTTTATAAATCTCTAAAAAATAGTAGCAGTAGTAGTAGTAGTAATAGTAGTAGTAGTAGTAGTAGTAGTAGTAGTAGTAGTAGTAGTAGTAGTAGTAGTAGTAGTAGTAGTAGTAATAGTAGTAGTAGTAATGGTAGTAGTAGTAGAAATAGTAGTTGTTGTAGTAGTAATAATAGTAAAAAAAGTTGTCTTGCCCTGGGTAAAAAAAGCTAAAAACTATGATATGTTGTATATACAACAGTAAAATATTTTACAAATATTTCAATAATTTTCTATCTTTAATGCTCATTTGTGTAAAACTGTTGATTAGTTTAGGATAAACATTTGAAGGAATACTTTCTTTATCTTTTGAAAACATATCAGCATACGTTGAAATGTATCTTGTCTTCATTATAGGCAAACATAAGGTAGCGGCGGGTACTATAAAAATAAAATATCTTTTTTATTATATTACCTTGAAGAATCTACAGGCTAATTACCTTAAAATATACTTTTATACATTAATAATGCAATCATTACCTATGCCATTTGCAGCAACAGAGTTCTTGTGATAACATCCGTATCTTGATCGAGGGCCATTCAGAATTGTTTGGTAGTTTGCCCATTTAATAGAGTTTATTTTTTCTGGAAATAATTTTTCATTTTCATCAGTTTGATGCTTTTTTTTCTTTTTTTCTTTTTTTCGATTTAAATAATAGTCAGCCTTCAAAAATTTAATTTTTAAATTTTTATTTTGTTTTAAAAGAAAAAAATTGGATAATTCTAACAATGTCATAATCTTAATGTCACGATCTTAACGTCACACGTTACAACCGTTATGCCAAAAAATTTATAATTGATAGGCATCTTACGTAATTCATCTCATATAAAATAACTTTCTTTTTAGTTTTTTAATTTTATCTTTTAGTTTTACAATAATAATGATAATGGTAAAAATAATACTTTAAATTTACCTAATACGTTAATTTTGCTGCTTGGCTGGGTTTTTTAAACTTGTTTTTGTAACTTGCTTCTTTTCGACTTTAGGTAAACTTTTTAAATTAAGGTAATCAGCCTTTGAAAAGTGTTTTGACAATCTTAAATAGTTGTATTTTATTTCATATTAAAACAGTAAAGCTGTCAAAACTTTTAGCAATATAATTTTGTTTTACACGTCATAAATTGCGCTTTTACCATTTACTTTACATACCACGAGCTTAACGTGACGAATGCCTTGAAAATCTTACTTTTAATTAGATTTGGCTCAACGCAATAAAATGATTTTTTCGGGAGGCTGAATAAGCGCGTAACTAGCATAAGTGCAGAGCAGTTGCAAAATCTGGCAGAACTGCGAACTGGCATAAGTGCGAACAAAATTACTAATATTGGCATAAGTGCAAATTGGTATTTCGTACTTGTGCCAGTTTTTGTAACTGCTTTTCACTTGTGACAGTTCACACTTACGCCATTCGCACTTATGCCAGTTCGCACTTATGAAGTGTGTGCTTATTTAGTCGATTCTTTGATTGATAAATGGTTAGAAACTATTTTATCCAGAATAATTTTATTGTCTTTGTTCTTTTCAATGTTTATGACATAAATATGAATATGAGATTTTTGCTTTATTATATGAGATAAAGTTCTTTTAATCACAAAAGTCGTTTTTTTACAATGAAAGCAGAAAAATGTTTTTCTCATTATGATTTTCTGTAACAAAAAAACCATAATGAGCAAAACAAGTAAAAATGAAAAATAAAATTAAATCCGCTATAGGTGTTAGTAAAAGTTTTTCTGTCAAATAATTTAAAGATGATACATATTTATTTTAGCCCAGTCCCCAGGGGTCAGTCAAAAGGTTTTTTTTGTTATGACATTAACTTTGTTATTTACGGCACTTAAGTTTGTTAAAACAACAACATTTTTTTTTAAATCTTGCAACAAGAAGAATTTAAAGTTTATTCTTAAGTAATACTCAGTATCTTAAGTAATTGAGAAAAACTCTTAAGTAATACTCATTATCTTAAGTAATTGAGAAAAATTCTTAAGTAAGTCGAGAAAATTTTGAATTTTGAAACAGACAAAAAATTACCTTTCAAATAAAAATCTTTAAAAAATGAAATATGCATAATTCAAAACTTTACCTGGTAAGTTGATTTTGCAGCTTCGTGTTGTTTTTTATTGCAATTTATAATTTGTTTGTCTTCGGGTAAACTTTTAATATACTTCCAAATCATGAAAGATTCTTGAGGATGAGGTTTACTAAATTATAATTATTGTAAAAGAGTCACGAAAAATTTATCGTGTCGATAATATATCGCGTTTATAGAATTCAACAATACTATGAGCACAAAATTTGTAATAACAAGGAAGAAGTCACCTTGTACGAAACCCGTACCTAGTTACCAGTTGCTTATATATTTAGACATATGAATTTCAATTTATATTTTATATATGTAAATAGTAATCAATTAGTTTTTATTGGTGTATTATTAAATATAACTATATTTGGGGTCGCATCGGGGTCACTACATTGATGTAGTGACCCCGATGCGACCCCAAATATAGTTATATTTAATAATACGATGCGACCCCAAATATAGCAAAAACTTGAGATAAAAAATCGGCAGAGATAGTATTAAGAATTAAAATATGGGAAAAAAGTTTATAGTTAAGAAAAAAACAGGCGTTCATAACTAAGAAAAGAAAGATGCAATCTAATTTAACTAAAATTTTAACTTAAATTTGAAAAGTTAAAAGTAAATGTTTATTATTAAAACCTGTTTTTACAAGTTTTGTAACTCAAGTTCGTTTAAATAGAGTTTACTTATTTGTAACAAAACTTTTCACTAAATATAATTTTTAGGGGAGTGGACAGAGTTATTAAAAAGTTTCCTTTTCCTCTTCTCTATGGAAAATTTTCCATGATTGTAAATAATACTTTTTTCGATTTTTTTCTGTTGTAACCAAATGAGTGTAATGATTGTCTTCTTTGTTTATTTCTTTCCAGCCAAATTCATTGTAGTATTCTGTCTTTCCAGTACTTATATCTTAAAAGCAAATTAAATTTCAATATTTTACTCCAATTTTTTAATGTACTTTGACACACGCACGCATGTTTTTTTACAAATGTATGCATATATGTGTACGCGCGTGAGTGTATGTATTTAAACTATGGAGATATTAATTAAAAGTTATGCAGCTGAAAAATTATAACAACTGAAGAAAACAATTGAAAACCTGAAGAAAATTTTAAAGACATAATGGCTGGAAGCTTTGACATAGTGGCTGGATCTCCATGAAGACCTTTAAAATCTCTTCTGTTTGATGTTTCGTATTCCATTAGAAAAAAAATATTGTAAAGGTTAATCCGAAGTTTGAACAAGAATTAATAATATAATATAAATGATGACGTTAGATTTAAGGTGACGTTAACATACATATTTATTTATTTAATTTTTACGATGAGTAAAATAAGGAATCACTATAAAAATTATATTTACTAATCAAATAATAATTATAGTAGCTTGTTTAAAAGACTTTATCTATTTATATTTATACTTATATATATATATATTTATTATATATATATATATATATATATATATATATATATATATATATATATATATATATATATATATATATATATATATATATATATATATATATATATATATATATATATTAATAATTAATAATTTTATAATGAAAAAAATAAAAAAATAAACAAAAAGTATTGATGATAATTGTAGTAATGACAAAAAGAAAATTAAAATAATATTTTAATCGCTGGGATAATAATGTTAAAAAGTTAGAATAAAAAGTTTTTCAGAATTTTTTTAAATTGATATTGTTTGAGATGGATTAAAGTATTTTTAGGATATAGTTTTTTGGACTCATTCAAAATGCATGCAAGGCTCCTTTTCCATTCACAGACGCACTGATAAACAATAGAATTTTTATCATACTTCTGATTTTTAAAAGATGGTATATTTTGAGTTCTTCTGAGTTTTAAAAGATGGTACATAGTTTTCCATTGTGTATATTTCTAGTAGAATAGGAATGTAATAGTCTACTTTCTGTGAATAAGTTTGTGATAGGAGATGGTAAGTTTTTATTTAAGGAGTCAAAAACAAAAAGAAGTTTAGCATACTTCACTAGCGCTGGAAATGTTGGAATGAAAAGTTTTGTTAAAGGACTTCGATGTATCTGATTAGTTGGAAGTTTAATAATCTGCTGGATTAACACTGAGACGATAGCAACTTGTTAATGCGATCGTTTTCAACTTGACCCCAAACTTGACAACAATATTTAAGATGAGATGAGAATAATGCATAGAAAATATTCTTTAGTGTAACTTTATCGACATAATGATGAATTATTGAAAACATACCGTTAGCTCGTGATTCTTGCTTAGTTCGTTAATATGAAAGTTCCATAAAAGATAAATTATTTAATAAATCTTGAAGGATATAGCCGTTTATTATTAATTTTGATTTTGATTTCAAAATTTTTAAAGAAATAGTTTTTTCTAAGAGATGAAAAAAAAATTTGTCAGTATTGAGAAATATTAGGTTAGTATTTAACCAGTGAACCCTTTTGTATCCGAATTAGCATTTTTACATAAAGAATGGTACGATTTGTTGATATGCAAAAGGTATCATCAGCAAATAGATGAACTGAAGAGAAGTAAACAGAGTTGATTAAGTTTTTAATGTAGTTTTTGACTCTTGTTTTTTTAAACGGGGTGTAGTGATCTAAAATCAATGTTGTTTCAGTAAAAAACGTTTGGAAACATGTTTTAGTATCATTGGACTTTATAACATCGTCTCAGTCAATTTTTGATAAATCAAATTTAAAATTTTCTTTATTAAAGTTTTTAAAACTCCTGCTGTATAAATTGTTTCTGCGTGGTATAAATAATTTATTGAAATTGGGGCAAATAAAAAATTGAGGTAAGTGATCAGAAACAGAAGTTGTCAAATTTCCTGAAACAATTCCATTAGCTATTAAACTAGAGAAAACATTGTTAATGATTGTTGCAGAGTGATCAGTAATTCTAGTCGGCAAAGTAATAAAAGGACGAATAAAAAGAAAATAAGTTTAAAAAGTCGTCGCAATGTAATTACTTGCATCAGATCAATATTATAATCACCAAGTGAAAGTATAGAATTATTTTTAGCAGATATTTTTAGAAGAAAGACAGACATGATGTTATTAAAAATATTAATATCCATGCAAGGGTGTCTATAAATGCAACCAACAATAATATTAGACTTTTTAGAAAAAATAATTTCAAAAAATGTGGATTCTAAACAATTTGGTGTATAAATCATTAATCATCATATAATTATGTACCACCACAAGAGGATTCCGTTGGTGTGTGCTAAATGTTCTAATTATCAATGAGAATTGAATGAATTGAGAATATTCCTGTTTTTAACCTAGTTTCAGTTACACCAATAATGGAAAAATCAAAATTAATTAATGATAGTATTATGTTTAAATCCTCAAAGTATTTTTGTAACGACGATATGTTTATGTCTAATGAAGTAGATATTTCTTCCTCAGAATCTAAAACACGAGATAAAAAATTATTATTAATTTAATAAGAAACTTTATTTAAATGAAAAGGTTTGTAGACATAGGTAAATCATCAGTTTTAAGAATTATATCAAAAGAGAATAGCAATTCAAATTCATTATCTTGTACATCTGTGAATGGAAAGACACTTTTAATACAGTTTAAGCAACTCCGCAACGAGCGGTTTAATTGTAGTAAACTGTACTTAGTATCATTAGGCCTGTCACATTTTGTATGAGTCCAAAATAAACAAATATTACATTGAGATGAGCGGCAACTTTGGTTAATTAATTTTTTACACAAATGACAGTTTATAGCCATTGTGGAACCGCATTATTAGAGAGAATGTAAGAAACAATAAGTAGGAAGTAAATAGCTATGTTATTAATAACTGTTAAAATAAAATTATGCGTATGAATAGATTATTAGAAACAACCGATTACAACATCGGAAAAACTAACAATTATAATAAAAAATAATAAGCCAACAGCCAAACAAAGAGTAAAATATAACAACACAGTGGCGGAACTACTGGACGCAGGACCCTGCGTTGCGGCGGGGGCTATAGGGGGCCCTCATATAAAAAAAGTTATACTCTCAATAATATTTATACTATAAAACTCTTTTCCGCAAAAAAAACATTCTTTTGCGGGGGGGGCCCAAATTTTGAAGTTCCGCCACTGTAACAACAACAAAAAAAATATTGAAAAAAGTTATAAAATCAAACTAAATAAGTAAAAAAAACTAATCAAAGAAAAACGTAAATTAAAAATATAATAACAATAATAAAAATAAATATTTAACATTATATATCAAAATAAGTAATTTAATAATAAATTGTAGCAACATATAAAAAGAAAAAAAGTGTAATATTTGAAATAAGATAAAAAATAATAAATACAACAATAACAAAAATAAAAACTATAAAAATTATCTTCTCTTTTAATAAACTGATCTTATCTTCCTATCTTCTTATTAATTTATCAACTTTTCTTGTTAAGTTTTTGTTAAATCGATGTTCAAATTTTCTTTTTTTTTGTTTTTTTAAATGTTAATTTTGAGTGTTTATTTGTTAAATGTTTCTTTTTATTACAAAATCCTTCACAACGCCTAAATTTTGGTTCAATGGCATTTCTTGTAATAATTTATTTGATATATAATAACATAAAACATAAATAAGTACTAATTTCAATTTATTTATGTGATATTTCTGTCTAATTAGCTCAGACTATTAACAGTAATGTTGTTAGAACATCATGTTGTTAGACGTAAAATGAAATACAATAAAATATCACACACAAAAAAAAAAGTTTTAAAAAAAAATCGTTAAGAAGACATAAAGATGAATTGACTAAGGTGAAAACTATTTTGATTATTTCACTGATTTTTTTAAAAAAGAGGTCTCCAGCTATTTAATGCAATTTTAATACCGTTTTTGTTCAAAACTGGTATAAAGCTTTTTATCTCATGATTCGTTTGTGCATAATTAATTTCAAGGTGTTCTCTTATTTTTCTTTCACGGTGGTTAGAATTAATTGCGATTGTTTTGGGAAACATCCAATTAAATATACAGTAACAGTCCTTTCAGTGTTCTGTGGCTCCGGAAGCATGCCAATTTAGATGCAACGGTAATAGATACAAATAATTCCCAATAAGATTTTAAAATCCATCAAAAATCTGCAATTACGAATATACAAATAAAAGCAAATTTAAACATTAATTCTGTATTAAGTTCAGGAGTCTTTTTGTTTAAGTTTATGTGTATGTGGTGACTAGGGGTGGCAAACGATTAACGATTAATCGATTAAAAATCATTAATCATTAATCGATTAATTAACAAACGATTAATTGATTAATTTTTTTTTTGATATAACAACTTTGCGTTATTTTGTTCCAAAGATTTTTACGAACATTTACAAACGTTTTTTTAACGAACAAGACTTGTGTTGACTTTTATCCGGCATTTGGTCAAATATAATTATAAACAAACAGAAACAATGCTTTTTTATAGTGCAACTGCTTGACCACCATTTACAATGTCGTTTGGAAAAAACCCCTCTGAAGTTTGGAAACATTTTTTATTGGAAAATAAAGACAAATCAACATACAAGTGCAAACATTGTTCAGTCGAACTTAAATTCCATTCACCGACTTCAAGTTTCTTGTATCATTTAGAGCACAAACATAAATTTTTTTTGACAAAAGTTCTTTCAGAGAAGTCTAAAAATATACAGCCAAGTATTGCTGCTTATTGTAATAATATAGGTAGCTAAGCTGAAGATGTATTAGCTCGTTTAACTGCTGTTGATTGTATCCCTTTTGCAACTTTGGCCAATAGCAAAGATATAAAAAATGGCTGAAAAGCTCAAGGACTTAAAATCCCTTACGATCGACATGCTATAAAGACAATTGTTATAAACTACGCAAACTCAATGAAGTTAAAAGTTGTTCAAGAACTTCAGCATTTATTTAATTAAAATTAAAAGGAGAGAGGTTTTCAATTTCTCTTGATGAGTGGACTTCTGGTAAAACTAGAAGGTTTTTATGTCTTAATGTACATTGTTCAGACAAATGTCACTATGGTCTTGGAATGATTAGAATAAAAGGTTTGTTGCTTTCAGAAAGAGCTGTTAATATTGTTATTGAATAATTAAATGAATTTGGCTTGAATTTGATCACTGATATTTTTGGATGTGTTACTGACGGTGCATCAGTAATGAAAAAAATAGAACAAGAAATGGGAGTTACACACCAACTTTGCTACTGCCATGGAATTCATCTTGCTGTATGTGATATTCTTTATAAGAAAAAATGCTTAGAAATAGAAACAACTCAAGAAGAAGTAATTAGTGATGAGAATGAAAATGAAACATCTGATTCCATCCCTGATGATGAAAACAACACTGAAGAATGCTGGAATGAGGAAAGTATTAGCTCTGTTTCACAGGAAATCCAGTTTAATGAGGACTATGGCATTATTATATCAAAGGTTTGTAAAATAGTCAAACTTTTTAGAAAATCTCCACTTAAAAACAATTCCCTTCAAAATATTTGTAGAACAGATTTAGGAAAAGAACTTACACCTATTTTGGATACTAAAACAAGATGGAATTCTCTAATAAGTATGTTAAAACGATTTTTAAAGTTAAAAAATATTTTTGCAAAGGCTCTTGTTGATATATCTAGAACAGATTTAATTTTAAAAGAAGAAAAAATAAAACACATTTCTGATATTGTTCAGGCTCTACATGTTGTAGAGTTAAGTGTTATGGAACTTGGAAAAAGAAACTGTGATCTGATAAAATCTGATAAAATTATTTTGTTTTTACTACAAAACCTTAAAGAACAAAATACTAACATTGGTCAAAATTTATTTACTGTTGTCTCGGAGAGAATTGTCGAAAGAAGAAATTGTAATATTGCTGGTTTACTGTGCTTTTTAAATAATCCAGCTGACTTTAAATCAGACTCAGAATTTCCAGATAATCTTTTGAAATACCCATATAAAAATAAAATTTCTACAACTGCTAGAGAAATATACCTACGTTTATTTCTACACGAGGAAGTAGAAGCAGCATGTGAGTCTAAGTTAGAGTCTACTTGTAATACAGAACCATTAAGAAAAAAACTAAAGCTGAAGAAATAGCAGAAATAATATCTAACACAACTTCAGCAGCAGGAAAAGAGAAATAAAATCATAAAAAATGTAAATTACTTTTTATTAAGTTATAAACACATTTTTCCTAAAATTAATCGAAAATTAATCGATTAATAGATTAATTTTTGGAAATTTAATCGTTAATCGAATACCGATTAATCTACCACCTCTAGTGGTGACGTTTATATCGGAGAAACTAAAAAGAAAATTTCTCAAAGAGAAATTAGGCATAAGGTAAACAGCATGAAAGGCAATTACCATGCTTTCAGTGCCACAGAACACTGAAAAAATGTCAAGGTAAAATAAGACAATCCTATAAGATCAATTACTCAAATTAAAACTTTTAATTCGTTCGACATTTCTGTTACATAACGTTATATTGATTTTTTTAATCTCGCAAAATTTGATGCTTTAGTTAAAAAAAAAAGAAATCAGATTTTAGGAAAGAGATTGTCCGTAAATTACGTCATTCTTTAAGGGTGGGGGTGGGTTGTTAGTGGTTTTGTTACGGCTCATGCGGGACTTGTTATTAAAGTGTTACGATGTTGTGACGAGGAGGAAGAAGGGGGGTTCAAAAACGTTTAAATAAATCTAAATGAAGTTATTGACCAATTAATTTCCAAAAAGCCCATAAACTTCTATTTTAGAATCTTAAGATATATGAAAGACATCTGTCCAAAAATAAGAACGTCCAAACAAAATGTTTTTCAATTTTTTTACTTGATTTTTATAGTAGCTAATAAATTATTAGAATAGCTAATTTTTATTTTATTAAAAAAAAAAAGAAACGCAGTTAACGAATAATTAGTGCATTTTTCAAATTAAATAAAAAAACTATAATTTTAATCATTCTGTTTACTTACTTAAAATGTAAACTTGAAAGGTAATTTGAATGAACCTTTTTTTCCAAGAAAATGTTTTTATAAATTGTGTTTGAGACATAATGACTAATAACTTAAATCGTAGTAGAAAAAAACACAAATACAATCTTACATTTTAATTTTAGTTCTTGATGCACATTCAATTCATGCCACTTGGGAAGTTATTTCATCCAAATGCAATGCAAATGTTCAATATGAATTGCAGTGTGGTAAAATTTTCATATTTTAATCCCTAAGTTTAAAAATTTTACAATTTATAAATGAATATTTTACGTAAGTATATTTAAAAGTTATTTTAAATAAATTTATATAAATAGTATGGTGACACATTTATTAACATTTTTAATGCCATTAGGGTTAACAGGTGTCTAGTTTTTATGTAATAAAATTACATGTATAATAATGTAATAAAATTTAGGTTTTTTTTGATTTTAATAGAATTTTTAAAAGTAACCCTAATAGGCATCCTGCAAGTAGGGTTGCCAGATGTCCAGCTTTTACAAAGGAGGACACAGTCAAAAAATATTATTTTTACAGGTTCGGCACGGTTAAATATACAAAAATGTTAAACTTTTAAAATTAGTTTAATGTTATCAAAGCTCTTTTTTTATTCAAATAATGTATGCATTGTTCAAAATAAAAAAAGAGCTTTGATTACATTTAGCAATTTTAGACTAACAGTATATCAAACTTTTTGACGCATTAGTTATTTACCGTTAAACTTTTTTATGAGTTTTTGTTTAAAAAAAGCAATAATTTTTTTTTTTTTCAATTTGATTAAGGTGCCCCAAGAAGTCCTTACGGTCTTCTTGCTTCACGCCTTATTCCCAACTGATGTCGCTGAGCTTGCCCAGAGGTCGCGGATCTTACGTTTCTGAGGCAAGTGCGCTGCCACTGCGCCACGGCTGCTCTTATATATATATATATATATATATATATATATATATATATATATATATATATATATATATATATATATATATATATATATATAGAAACTAGTTGAGCGCGGTTCTACCTGGGATGTAGTGGGGACCAAACTCGGAACTTCTCGCTGATGAGGCGAGCACTCTACCACTACCGCATTAAGTTCTGATTCAAAAAATTGAACAGAATTAAAGTTAACGTCTCCGGCCTTGTTTTGAAGCTTTAGGTTTATAGCGATTTACGTACGCCTTTGTGATTTTACGTAAGCAGTGAGCGATTTTGGTTAAGCAACTTTTATCATTTTTTATCAGTTTTTTCGGTTTTCCTTCCTAAATATTTTTTTTTACTCAAAATTAAATTTTAAATAAATAGCTGCATCAAAAATTTGCACAAAACGCAAAACTTTTTTTTTTATAACGCAAGGTAAATCTCTCCATCTCTCTCTCTCTCTTTAACGGTAGAGAGAGAGAGAGAGAGAGAGAGAGAGAGAGAGAGAGAGAGAGAGAGAGAGAGAGAGAGAGAGAGAGAGAGAGAGAGGGAAAAAAATACATATTGAAACTTTTTAGTCCCTGTGTAATAAGTAATAAATATTTTGAGAAAAAAAGATTTACTTTTGTTTACTGGCTTGACTATCTTTTGCTTTATATTGGTTAAAAACCATATTTCAAGTTTATATATATATATATATATATATATATATATATATATATATATATATATATATATATATATATATATATATATATATATATATATATATATATATATATATATATGATAATTCTATTTTTGATTATTTCCTGAAATCACCGCTTTGCAAATAATATTGATTTTTTACTTTAAAAAAGTTACACAAAATTAAAAAATATTATGAACAAAAAATATAACTTGTTGCAAAAAAAAAAAAAACTTGATTTAGTTACTTTACCAGTGCTTATATGTGTGACAAACAAAGATTTAAGCTTCCAAGTACCATTTGTTAAAAAATATATACTGTTGTGCTTTTACTTGCCTTATGACAAGAAAAGTTAAATGTACGCTTTATTAAAATTTTTGATGCAGTGTTATAACATGTTTACAAGGAATTTAAATTACTTTTTTAATCAAAGTTTCTGCTTTCACTTTTTTAATATCGCACAATCGGTTAATTATATAAACTGATTTAACGATTATAAAATATTATTTTTCTAAACTATTATTTTTTGCTAAATAAAACTTATTTATACGAATAAACAAAGACATTGCAAGAACTTTATTGCTTCAAGCATAAATACTTTTAATAATTAAATAAATAACTTCTTCTATAGATATAAATCTGTTATTAATTTTTTTAATACAAATATTGAAAGATTATCAAATAAATTTATACATATTAACGTTATCAAATATAAAATAATCTTGATAATGATGGTATCTACACTCCCTCAAAACAAAATATTATTCTCTACACTCCCTCAAAACAAAATATTATTCTCTACACTCCCTCAAAATACTATTTTGAAAAATTAATAATATAAGTTATATCTATTGAAGAAATTTTTTATTTAACTAAAAAAAAAAAACTCTTTTTAAGATGTCATTTAAAGTTTGTAATAATTAATGTTTTTTTCATTTTTTTGATAAAATCAATCATTAAAATTAAAATCACTCGGAAAAAACACAAAAATTAAAATCACTCGGAATAAACGGCAAACTACTGCAATGGATTAATTCCTTTTTGGTAGGCAAAAAGCAACGCGTTACAATTAACAATTCTAGCTCTGACTGGGTTGATGTTATTAGTGGTGTTCCTCAAGGTTCTGTTCTCGGTCCGCTCCTCTTTATTCTTTTTACAAACAATCTTGCCCAACTTACAGAAACTTCTGAAGTATTTGCAGACGATACTAAACTTTTTTCTAAAACTTTATCGCAGACTAATTTCGTTGATCTGCAGGATCATCTACGCTTAGTATACGAGTGGTCAAACACTTGGTTACTTAAATTAAACATTTCAAAATGCTGTGTTATCCATTATGGTAAAACCAATCCTATGTATAGTTACTTTTTGCAAAATAACCAAGGTATAAATCAAAGCCTAAGAAGCTCTATTAAAGAGCGCGATTTAGGAGTCATTTTTATATCTAACCTTAACTGGAGTACACATATACAATCAGTTGTCTCCAAATCTTTACAAATTCTTGGTATGTTAAAAAAGAAAATTCACCATCGTTGATGAAAAAATGGCTCTCAAATTATATAAAGTGTTTATAAAACCACACCTTGAATATGCAGTGTTTGTTTGGACACCGTATTTAAAAAATTGACGTAGTTTTGGTTGAATCTGTTTCAACGTAAAGCAACAAAATGGACTTTAAACTTGAGAAATCTTCAATACTATGAAAGACTTAAAAGACTAAATCTACCATTACTCGAGTTTCGGCGTCTACGATGCGATCTAATACAAATTTTTAAACTAATACATCAATTTGATATAATTAATAATATATATCAACCAAAATTTATTAACTCATTGTCACGTAGTCACCATCTTAAAATAAGACGTGAATATGTTCCAAACTGTCTTCCAAGACACCATAAATTATATAATAGATCAGCCAAATACTGGAATGAACAACCCGAGCAAGTAACTTTATACTCAACTGTAGGGTAGATTAGGGTAATATGGGCACCTTGGTAATATGAGCATACTTAAAGATTTATTAGATGTAAGCAGTGAAGTTAAAGTTGCTTTGTGTTTTTCGAATCAATTATTGTGGTGATAACGGGAATCAATACAATTAGCGTAAATTTATATGCAGTAATTAGCGGACATCATCTAATTAAAACGCTTTTAAATTTTTTGCTTTGATAAAATAATATCATCACACGTGAATAATTCTGTGGCGCAAAATTTTAGTGCTAAAATAATGAAATTAATTTTTTCATAAAGAAAAATATATTAGCTAAAAATCCAATTCATTTTGGTTTGAAAAATAATGCATAGAAACATTTATTTTTGACTTTATTTAAAGATGCCATTTTTGTGTAATATGAACATGCTCAAACTACCCAGTGTTTTTCATTGAAATTACTTAGTTTAAAGTCCTAAAATAGCAGTGGTTTTTAATTGCTTCTTGAATAAAAACAAAACATAGTAAAAAATTTTAATATTTTAACAATACTAAATATTTTTCTGAACTTGAATTTAAAAAATTTGAATTTTTATCATTCAAAGGCTTGAGTTAATAAAATTAAAAAAATAACGAATTAATTTTTTTGTTGTTGCGGAAAACATATTAATATTGTTTCAACAAATGTAGCTTAAAATTTGATCTTTTAATGATAAGTTTTGTTAATCACGAATCCTTATAATTAAAAATTAGTTCTTTTAGTCAGGTTGGTCTTTTTTTACTTAATTAATGCTATTTTTTGAGCTAATTTAAAGTGCTCATATTACCAAGGGGTCTGGGTAATACGAGCACTTTTGCTACTTTTTTAAAACCTCTGTGTTTTTTAAAAAAAATGTCGGGTGCCCAAATATCTAAATGGATCATGAGTAGGGATCCTTAAAAATTGTTTGTTCGCAAAAATTTTAGATCCAGCATATTTATTTTTGAAAATATTTTAATTTTCGCTTAAGGTGCTCATATTACCCTAATCTACCCTACTTTCTTTTAAAATTAGATAAGATCACTGAGGATAAAATTCGGAACAAATATTTATAAAACTAGTTGTTTATAGTAGGGTGTTTTCCCTGTTCACTGTATGTATATATGGTATGTATATTTTACGGCTACAACTATAAGAATAATAATTATAATAAAAAAACAAAAACAAAAAAATTTAAATATCTTAAATTAAAAATTTACTGTGGCGCTAAAATAAAATAAAATTTAAAGGTATTCCAAACCTCCAAGACATGTTGTGTTCATATTAAAGAGAATGATAAAAAAATGTTTGGGCTAAATATTTTTGATTAAAACAAAAGAATAAATGCATACCAAGAAAAACTAACCTTTTTTATTTTGGTCGAAGCTTGCTATCTCTGTTTTGCTGTAGGCCAAAAAGTCTTTATAACATACGCCGCAATCTACATACTTGATAATTTATTTAAACGCTTTTAAAATTCCTAAGAGCTTTCCTAAGAGTACATGACATCATTGAATTTTTTGTTTGTTTAACTGATCTTTTAAACAAACAAAAAAATCAATTGAATAAATTAAATAAAAATTTTTTAATTATATTTCTTTTATGATTTTTTTTTACACGTTATATATCTTTTTTTTATATATTTATATATTTTATAGATGGAGCTAATATTGTATACTTGGGTCCTGACACCTCATACACAGTTACTGGTTTGAAGGAAAAAACTTTTTATGAGTTTACACTAAGAGCTATTACAGATGAAAATGAAGAGAGCTTTACAAGCGATCCTGTGACTGTTCAAACATTTCGTTCAGGTACTAATATTTTTTTTTTTGTTTTTTTTTTTTGAATTTTTTGTTTTTATATTCATGTATAATTTTGGTGTTGATTTTCATTCTTAAAACTTGTGTTTTTATTTATTTGTCATTATCAGTCATATAAACATAAAATACATGGAAAAAGGAAGAGTTTTATTTGCCTTAAAAGACTTGAAGAAAATATAACAATGGTTTATATGGTTACAAAAGTCTTTAAAAAATTTAAAGATAAGATAAAAATTATGATAAATAAAGTTATAAAGGTTTTTGGATTGTTATCTGAGTATAATTTGGTTTATATAATTCTAATAAGTATCTATGTAATCTTTAGTTTCTACACCTCCTCAAAATTTAAGAGCAATACAAGTTACAGCTAGCCAGGTTAAGATAGTTTGGGAAAAACCATTAAAGATTATTGGCAACCTTAAAGGCTATCGTGTTAAAGAAACTGGTAATATTTTTTTAAATTTTTTAATGTACATTATATTGGTTTTATTTATTTTTTGTTATTTTTGATTTTGATTTTTTTTTTTTTTTTTTTTTTAATGTTTTTTTTTATTGTTGCTTGTTGCAGTTGTATTAGTTATAAATTTATTTCCTTATAAAATATTTTTTTAGTTAAAAATTTATTTCCTTGTACTATATTTTTTTAGGAAGTTCAATTCATTATGAACCTGTTTCTTTATACTATATTGCCAGCAATTTAGAAGCAGACAAAGAGTACACGTTTGAAGTTTGTTTATATATATTTTTATAAATATTTTATAAATATTTTTAAAACATGATACTTGATGAAATAATGTCTGTAGTTTAATATTTTTTTATTTTTACATGAGTTATTTGTTTCTACATTAATTATTTATACATTAACCCTTTCTATCCCGAGCATACTTCTAATGATAAAAACTGTTCTTTTTAGAAACACAATGCATATTAAATTAAACACTTGCATCAACAGTTAACAGTTCACTATCAAAAAAATATGATTTTTTATTTAGATCAAATATTAGGATGTTGACTATTGGCTATCACTATATGATACTGTTGATATCATTGGCTATCACTATATGATACTGTTGATATCATTGGCTATCACTATATGATACTGTTGATATCATTGGCTATCACTATATGATTCTGTTGATATCATTGGCTATCACTATATGATACTGTTGATATCATTGGCTATCACTATATATCATATAGTTTGTATACTGTATCATATAGTTTGTATACTGTTTATATCATTGGGACAAATGTTAAATTGATGCAATCAAAAATTCAAAATTTAAAATAAGAAAAATATGTGACAGTTACAGCCCTCAGAATTAGGGTCAGCATTTGGCAATGCTGATCTAAATGCCAACCATACTGTGTCTGAGGTTGGAAAAAAATTGCAGAATTTTAAATCTTAGTTTTATTTACTAATTCAAATAAATTAAAAATGATAAAACAAACGCCATTTTAAGTTCTAAATAAAATAGTTAAAATAAAAACACCAAAACAAACATTTTCTTTAAAATCTAGATAAAACTATTTTTTTAAAAATGGAAAAACTGTATTATTTACTTTTCTGAATGAAATAATTAAATTAAAAATGATGGAACAAATGTTTTATTTAAATTCTGAAGAAATTAATTTAAAAACGCGTCAGCAAAACGAATGTTTTATTTTAATTCTAAATAAAATAATAAAAATAAAAAAACAAGTATTTTAAATAAGTTTTAAATTAAATAATACACAAAATGATTTTTTTCTATGTATTCTGGAAACTAGTCAAAACCATCTTGACAAATATCATTTATGGGCAAAAGATATGCTGCTGCATGACATCTTGACAGTTAGAGTAAACGGCTCACTCATCTACCCTAGCTCCGTCAATTCAGGAGGTGATGATATAAGTGCTGGCTAAATTGAAAATTTTGAAATCCAGGAGAAATAAAATTTTTTTATCTTTTGCTTTTCAATGACATGCTGATATAAAAACCAAATATTTTAAACAGCCAAAATCAAAACAATGAAACACTAGCTGTATCAAATTGATTTGACAAAGATCAACACCTTCCAAGAATTTTTTTTTTTTCACAATTTTAAGTAACTAAATTTTCAGTCTATAATAATCTGTCTTGTAATCTCCTCTTAATGTAGCAGTTTATCTCCTCCTAATGTAGCAATTTACTACATTTTTCTTTCAAAGCAAAGCAAGTTCAATGTTGGAAAATCAGTTGTCAAAATATATTTTCTAAGTATTTTTGAGTTGAATCTTATCTTAGGTTTCAAGTCAAATCTTATCTTAAGCTTTTATTAGTTGTTAGACTCTTTGTTGACACTGTTCAACCTTTGATTTTGGCATACTTGTAACAACCTCAGTCAATGTAGCAGCACCTGTGTTGTATCTTCTTCCTATATCAGTTGATGTATGTACTGAAGCCCCTGGCAGGTCCCTTTACTATGGTGTCAGATTGTTTATCTAAGTGTGCTTACATAGTTGTGTGTGTGTGTGTCATATATATATATATATATATATATATATATATATATATATATATATATATATATATATATATATATATATATATATATATATATATAATAGAAACATATTACACATATAGGTTTCTATTATTGTAAAAAATTATTGATAGGTTTGTGCAGTAACACAACGAGGAGATGGAGAAGTAGCAACAGTTACTGTTAGAACACTTGGTCATGGTAAATATTTTTGTAAATATTCAGCGTTATATCATTTTAAAATTTTTTTGCATTTTTAAAACTTAATCCTGGACTGTAAAGATTATTTTTTATATCTTTAAAGCTCAAGTATTAAGGTAATTTTATATATAATATAATGTAGTTATATATCATATTAATGTAACATATATCATATAAATGTAACATATATCATATAAATGTAATCACTTATACAAGAAATTTAGAATTTCTTAACTTATGAAAAAAAATATAAAAAATATCTATTGATTTTATGCATTATTATAATTATATAAATAAATAATCAATTAAAAGTAATCAGAATTCACTGCATAGGTTTTTTAGCAATAAAACAACCTGCTATATTTTAATTAGCTATATTATTATTTATATATAATTAAAGCTACATAATAGCTTGGTTACATCTAAGTACAAAAATTCATTCTCATCAATATTTGAAAAAATATATATTAAATATTGATGAGACAGGTGGTAAGATAGAAGCTACAAAATAATGGTTGAAAGAAATAGGTGGTAAGATAGAGGCTAATAAGTAATTATTGAAACAGACAGGTGGTGATATGGTTAATTAGATAGGGGATAAAAAAAAAGAAAAAGGTTAAGCAATTAATTTTAATAAAATTTAAATTTTGATAGATTATCATGCACCATCCAAACCCAGGTTGGTATGTATAGGTCCAAATGAAATTGTTTGTACATGGGAACCACCTGCAGCAAAAAATCTTAGAATAAAGAATTATGAAGTCATATGTAATGGAAAGGTAATCTTTGTTTTTATTCTTTTATTTTTTTTTTAATTGTCTTTGTGTTTTATTTAAACTTTTGTTCAAGTTTATTTAGATTATTTATTTAATCTTTAATTAAAATTCAAAATAAAATTACAAACATTTTACATCCCATTATCCTCATCATCGTCATGATGATGATGAGGATAATGGGATGTAAAATGTAATGGATAATGAGGATAATGGGATCATCCTTATTCATTTAAGTTCCATCGTCCTCACTATCATCATTTATAGTCTAGCTTAAACCTAATTTGAACCTAGCCTGCACCCAATATAAACATAGTCTGCATACACTAATTAAATTTTTATAATTTATATATTTTACAATTTTAATTTTGTTATATTTTTGTTTACACTTTTTACAAAAGGCTATCTATTTTGGAACAGTAAGAAAATGTATTGCAAACAGATTAAAAGAAAACACAGTCCACACATTTTCAGTGAGTATCAAATGTTGTTACAGTAAATGTTAAATGTTGTTATAAACATCTTAAAGGACAAGCTTAATTATTGTAAAAAAAAAAATCATTTGATTAAAGTTATTGTTCAGATGATGTTTGTTGGTGATAAATTTAAAACGCAATCAACTTAAAAAATAAAAAAAATTTTCAAGGTAATTGCATGGACGAGTGAGGGTCGCAGAGAAAGTCTTCCAGCAACAAAAAAAACTACAGGTGGTTATAAGAAAAAAGCATTAAAAAAACGACCTTGGAAGAATGAGTCAGAACTTCAAAAATGGTTGAAAGATGAAGAAACTGAAGAATTAAAATCAGATTCAGAAGAATCAGATAATGGTTCAGCACCAACAGGTTATCTATTTGTTTAGTAGTTAAAGTCAAAAAAAGAAAAACAATATAAGCTAATAAAAAAAGCTGAAAAGTTAAAAACAAATATGTAATTAATAGTTAAAAAAATTTTTTAAGTTGAAAATGAAAGTTGATAATAGCTGTATGTAATAACTGATCAATTATTGTTTTGGGTGTGGTTTACCTCTTCATATTGAAGTATTGTTATTACTATTTACTGCAGTATAGATCAGGCGTAAATTGCGGGCTCAAGTGGCGATGACAGGATATTTATTTGACGGGATAAACTAGTTATAGTAAACTAGTACTTTTAGAAATATAAAAAAATTCTGAGAATTTTCTTGTTAAACTCCTCCTTCTCCCGCCCTTTTAGGAATTAAGACAATTCTGAGAAATTTTCTCTTACCGTCCCTTTTTGTTTTATGTTTGTTTTCTTTTTCTTTTAGTAATACTTGTATTGTATTTTTGTTCATCAAAATAAAGATTGATGAAAATTCTTGTTTGTGTAGTTTACATATTTTATATTATATTTTAAAATACATGTTTAGGTGTTATACATTTTTTATATTATATTTTAAAACAGATGTTCATGTGCTTAACATTTTTTATATTATATTTTAAACACACATGTAATGTGTTTTACATTTATCTTTAAGAAAATATAATTAATATTGTTCTTCTTATAATTGCAATCCTTTTAACAGTTGTGACCATGGTGACCATTGGGCAAATTTTTATTCAAAAAATTTAAATAATTTTTTAAAATAAAAATCTAAGATAAAAATATTGTTATAATATAAGTTATAACTAATAATTGATTATTAGTTATAACTTATTAAAAAAAAATTATAACTAACAATTATTGTTATAATTTTTTTTTAATTATTATTTTTTTTTATTGTTATAATTATTCATTTTATTTATTGTTATAATTTTTTTTTTAATTTGATGTTAATTTTTTGTTTTTGTTTTTGTTTTTTTGTTATAATTTTAATTTAATCTGTGCTTCAAGCAACATTTTGTTTATTTAAATAAAAGATATTTATTTCAAGATATTTATTTCAAGGTATTTAATGGTGAGAGGTTCTAGTGAAAATTTAAAAAATAAAAATTGTTTGTAAAAAATATTTAGATGCAAATGATAACGAGAATGAGGATTCTGAAAATCCACAAAAAACAGACAGTGAAAACGAAGAAGACAGCTCATAAAAGCCTTTCTAGTGTTTATTTTACAGTTTATTGGTGTTTAAATAAATAAGAAGACATTTTTTGTACATTTTGTTATCACGAAAATTTGTTTTTACTTGTTTTAAATAATTTCAAATTAAACATTTTCATTAAAATTTTTTGAAATGTTTTGTATCTATATTTGTTATATAAAATATTAAACTTTTTTGATTTTAATGAATTTGTTTTTTGTGTTGGAACATTTGTTAAAGTGTTTACAATTTTTTTGGTTCTAGCTTGCAGTTTTGTTATTTTTTAATTTTCGAATACTTTAAGCATATTTTTTGATGAATAAACGATGTTTAAAATTCATATATATATATATATATATATATATATATATATATATATATATATATATATATATATATATATATATATATATATATATCTGTGTGAGTATGTAAGATTATTGTTTGTTTATTTGATTTTTTTAAATTTTGTAGCCAGAAATAAACTTGAGTTTTTATTAAGCTGTGAAATGTCGAGTACAATGAGTAAGACTTATGAGAAATCCAAAAATTTATTGCTAATAGCTATAATATTTATAACAAATAATCTAATATTCAATTTTGAGAGATTTTAATATTGTTTGTGACATTTCAATTTCATTTACGAGGTTTAGTTTTACGTCGAGAGCTTAGTAGAACTTTTTTCCTTTTCACATTTCTTTCAAACAAGCACACGTTATGACCTTCAATTTTAGGATTGATAAAAAAGTAGCTACCTTCAAGATCAACTCTAAAGTAAAGGTCTCTGAAAAAGCTTTATTTTAAGTTAATCTCATATTGCGCAAATTTCATTATTTATGTTATGAATAGCATTTTCATAACATTTTAATAACTCAATGAAATCAGTGGCGGATTAAGCACACGAGGAGCCTGAGACCAATAATTCTGCGGGGCCCTTATCAAGTAAATTAGTTTAATACCTGGTTGTTGCTATATTTGTCGTTATTTTTATCCATGGTGTATCGTTTATTTTAGACTACAATATAAGAGAATTCCAAAATTAAGTTAGTTCTTAGGTTTCCTTTGAAATCATTTTTCTCGCTTTCTTTATAGTAAATGTTTCTCATCTTCATCGAAATTAATTTTATTTAAAATTTCATGCTTAATTGACATCAATGGCAGATTATTTAATCTATTATGTGTCATTATTGATCTCAGAACATTGTTAATTCTACTCAATTTAGAAAAACTTCTTTCTCCTGTACAACTTTGGACACCATCAGACTCAAATAAAACACAAAATGTAATTTCGACATAGGGAAATGCTTTCTTCGGTCCATGGTCTATTATTAACTAGTAAATTAACAACTCTTTACTGTAATCTTCGTCCTTCTACTTCTCTGCAAATTTTGGCGAATTGAATTTTTAGATTGGCGGAAAAATGAACCATTTCATCTTATTAAACTTATTTCAATGTCTTCCTGACATTTTCACCTTGTTCCTTAATTAGGGGAAAAAAAAATCAAATTGGTCAAAAAAACCAAAACTGCAGAATACGCATCGAGAATGGGGAATTTCTTTTGAATTTAATCTGACCCGAGTCCCCAGAGCATTCATCCTAGATTAAAAAAAATCAAACTGAACTTTCTTTTTCTTTTTTCTGCTACTATCTTCTTTATAAATCTTTATTTTACTTAACATCATGTCTTGCTCCTCAAATAGGCTGAATTCTATGCGGAGTGATTCTATAAAATCTTTCAAGAAATGCAGCTGCATTTACATCCAGTGTTGAACTCTGCAGAAGCTTGCTAGTTTTGTTCATTCTCTGAAAAATTGTATCCCAAAGCATAGTTAAAATTCCAGTTTCTAGCATATTAAACCAATTTTATAAACTAACAGCTTCCTGCCAAGTAACAGCTTTCTTTTCATTATCTTTTAAAATTGTACTAAGAGCTGAGCATAAGTCCTCGTAGCCCTTTGTAAAGGCTCGTGTTGCATTAGAATGACTGGACTAACGTGTATCAGAAAGTCGCTTTGGTACCGGTGCGTGTTTACTCAAATTGACAAGAAGAATATGCCAGCGATGTGTTGATGCACTGAAAAACGTGAATACATTTTGAACAAAATCAAAATATTTCATAGCCGCTGGACAACAATCAACAGCACTGCTTCCTACTAAACTTAATGAATGTGCAAACACGGTATAAATATAGCGAGTGGATTCACCGTTTGAATATTTGCTCAAACTCCATTATATCGACCAGACATATTTGAGGCATTGTTTAGGTCTGACCACGACAGACAGCTGTACTCTTTCTAATTCTTGACCAATATGGGTTTGTAAATTAATTAATGTTAGGAACCTTTCTATGGGCACAGTTTTATTTACATACCTAACTGTAACAGACAATAGGTCAACGTTTGATCAGGTGTTGAGTCAATTGAAACAGTTATATTTTGCTTCCTTTATTTTATTAACTATAAAAGTGAACACTACTTGACCCATTAAAGCTATAAGTTCTTTACAAATAGTTGATGACAAGTATGACACATTCCTTCGCCCTGCGTTTCCTTTTTTTTTTCTATATGTATTGTTAAAAATGGATCATACTTTGCCACTACCTCTAAAATACCCATGTAATTAAAATTTTCATGTGAACTAAACTTTTTTACATAACCTCGAAACTGCAAATCCCTTTCAGCCAAAAACTTAATAACATCTACCACGCACTCCAAAACTGATCTCCAAATATTCGTTTGGCTCTTAACTCCTTCTTCACGAATGATATCAACCCTTCCAGCCAATCGCGATTGCGATCTATGTAAGCCAGAATTGCTGCTAAGTAGCACGGACTCTTCTCATGCATTTCAATGACGCGTTTGGCATTCTTCCAATCATTGAACCCATGATATAAATATGTTTGAGTTGATGAGAGAAGCTTACAAATAAAACAGTATGTCTTTCCATTTGTAGGGGAATAACAAAGCCAGGTACGGTTCAATTTTTCGTTAGTTAAAGGATGTATCCGTGTGAATAATGCAGATGAACAATAACGAATCCGATTTGAATTATCATAAACCCGTTTTGACATTTCAAAATTATCGGTTATTTTTTGACTTTCAGCACTTTCTTTTCTGATGAAGTACTCTTGCACATCTTTAGAAACACTTTTCCACAATCCTATATCGGTATGATATGTGTCCTGATGTTTTTCATCGGTTTGATTATTAACTTGCTTGACACCAACAATAGCATTAGCATGTAACAAAGTATCTATGTCGTTGTTTGCTTCTAAATGAGACTGCAATTCTACTAATGGAACTACATTATCCATTATTCTTGTCTTTGTTAAAAAAGTATCAATTTTGGTGGTCTTCTTTAATATATTTTCTGAAGCTTTTTTTTTCTGAAGCTTTTTTTTGCTTTGTAGCGCCGCTTTTATAAGTCCGATTGAAACCAGACATTATTCAGCTACCTAAAACGTGCAATAAAAAGAAATGCTAACTGAAATCAAATACCGTCAAACCTAATTTTGTCTATGTTACTCAAACGTACATCAAACGACGTACAAACGATGTTTCAAACAAATTTTTCATGCAAAACAAAACTCATTGTATGATAGTAATGTTTTACTTCAAAAAACTTTTGTAATTACCTAAATAAAATACTTACACACTTCCTTTCAATAAATTGAATCACAACGGAAAATGCTAACGCCAGATTATTTTTGAGCTAAGTTAAAAATTACTATTTCTTTTGCATGGCTTCCTTGAGAAGTGATAACCTTAAAAGACGACGTTAAAAGATAACCTTAAAAGACGACGTTAAAAGATAACCTTAAAAGACGAGAAGTGATAACCTTAAATATAAATAGACAATATGGCTTTTGTTTTTGAAGGTTGCAGAGAAATTGTGTAAAGAAAATAATTTGTGTAATAATAAAAATAAATTGTGTAAAGAAAATGATGTTCAAAAAGAACAAAAAAAATGATTTTTTTCTTCTAAAAAATTAAATTTTGGGGCCCCTTAAATTGTGGGGCCTCAGGCCATGACCTTATTTGCCTCAATGATAATCTGCTAATGGATGAAAGGCTTTCAAATTTTTATAGACGATGAAACTAAGAGTCTCATCTATTATTTCATATTATTTTTTACCAACTTTAATGTTAAAATTTTAAAAAATATCTCAATTAAAAAAATGCGATTTAATTTAATAATAAAAATGTAAAAATAGAAAAAAAAGAACTTTTTTTCGTAAACAAATTAAAATATTTTTTTAAATTCGTTTTAAATTCTTTTAAAAATAAAAGTTAGTGCGTCACTTCTTACGATACGATAATTCTTCAAATATACGTTTACAAACATACAGAGCATACGTTTACAAACATAGTGAACGTTTACTAACATACAGATACGGGACTTGGTCCCGTAAGTTAAACGTTGTATTAACTTTCGAGACTTCCAGTAGTAGCCATAACATTTCATGACATAAAAACACTTTTTTTTCGCGTATTAATTTTTTTTTTTTTCAATAATATAATTGAATTTACAGCTATTTTTCAATAGCTATAAATTCAATTAAAGAATAAAAAATCAGTACAAAAATACAGTTTTCAATGATGTCATAAAGATATTGTTTTAAATTAGATAAGCTAAAGAGAATTTAGTTTCAAGTTTAACTATTCTGGAGGTGAATCACGCTGGTTTGTTGTTTTGTTTATTAAAGGAATGTTTAGAATGTTTCTTTTGATGTATAAATTTTTTATCGGTTAAAACATTTTTTTACTCTGCGCGAATAATTTTATAATTTTTTACCATTTTCGCCCTTTTTTTTTGGCTTTGGTTTCTTTCTAAAATTTTTAAATTGTTTGCTGTAAAAACACCATTTTTTAAACATCCTCTTACCTTTCAATTTAAATGGTTTTTGTACTTAAGGAACATCCTGAATAGACCTTTCCCAATGATATATATTACGATACATTTCCCAATGATTCACAACCATTCTTTTGTCGCGTGAACTCAAACAATTTTT